TATCACAGGCTACGCGACGAGTGCTGTTCTTTCGTCGAGGATCAAGTCGAAGACATGGATATTCGTCTCTCCGAGTAATTTACTTTAATCTTATCTTGCGTCACTCGGGACATGCTTCTCGGGAACAATTTTTTGGGATTAAGTTAAAATATTCTCCAAGGTGAGACGCTGTTGCGAATAATCGGTCGATCGAATATAAAAAACAAGATTTCAAGGACGCTTAATTAATCGACGTTCTTTTGGTCTGGTAGGGAAAGAAGAAGTAATTTCTATGAATATTCATTCCGCGAAGGGATGCAGTGCGATCGGCGAAGAAACAGCTAATTAGCATTGTCCTGTTCCGCTCTGTTGCATGGCGCTAATTAAAAGACATTATTCTTTTGCTTAGACTCCGTTTTAGTTAACAGACGTTCCTATAGAAGTCACTGGTTTCGAAGCCGATTAGATAGTTGTCAAGACTGCACGGTAATTAATAAGGTTACGTGTTACTTTCTTGCCGCTGATTACAAAAAGTCGAACAAAGATTCGACGAAAAATCTAAATGGAGGTCGAAAATTTCTCGATATCTACTTGTTTCGCTTTACTTTCTTCTATAAAGTAAGAAAATTATTGTTGACAAATCGTACTATTATAGAAAATACTGAACATTGAAAAATATCGATCAATTTGTTCAACTATATATGTTTGAATTTGTCGTGAAAATATTTTGTATGTAATACAATTAATGCTATAGTTTTCTAAACTAGCCGATTTAATTAATTTTCTTCGACCTTCAAGGAAGTCTTCGAGGAGAGACAGGTTCAAGTGGTCGTCACTTTTAGGCTGCTTAAATAACAATTTCGTTCTTACTTTAATTATAGAGCTCGGTCAGGTTCGTTCCGCGAGAATAATTTTCTCTCTGCGGTGTGGTCGTCCCGATGATAATGGCGGTCGACCGTTAATTTACATCGCCCGGCGCGCAGTTGAAACGAATTTATGGTTAATCAGTGGCTATTATTCCCAGCTCGATCGAAGATCGATATCTAGGACCGAGACTGGCTTGGTACCACTGGCAAGCACTGCGCAACTATCCACGGAACGCGTAAACCTGCGTACAGAGGGATTGTTAACGATCTTGCATGCGATCAGAAGGCTTGCGTAAGGAAGATCACGATCACACGCCTATTTTTCCGTTCCCCGAGGTGGCTTCTTCATCGAGAAACGTCGATGGAAAACTAGCGATACGCCATACTCTTTCTACTGGGTTGCTGCATAGAATCTTGCTGGATTCTTGTAAAATTGGAATAGTGTATGTAATACTAATAGAACCATTTCTTTAATATAAGTACAAATAATCAATGGAAATTAAATGAGACCACTGTTTGTCAGTTTCTTACAAAACGTACATGTTTAAATAAATAATATTTGAAAAACAGAGAATTCTAGAATATCAGTCATAACATTATCGAATAATTTCACCTATCATCATTAATTTAACACTTTTAATTTGCTTCGACCAGCATACAATACCTAAACTTGCAAATAAGCAAAGAACTATGTATCTCAATAGGCCACAGTAGAGTTAAAGGAAGAAGCTATAGATATCTCCCGAACGACCATGAAAAAGCATATCCTGTTCCGTCTCAAGACCACGAATCCTCAATCCTGACCCTGGGACCGTCCAATTCGAATTAACTTGACCAAGGGAATCCGGATTCCATCGTAATCATCCGGCAACAATGACGATCACCACCTCGCAACACGTCATCCCTTGTTTGCGTCCGAGATGCCAGCTCGAGGACGTAATCAATATTTTCAGAAAGCTCGGGGCTCCATCGCGTCTCGTCGAGCCCAATTACCGGGGCGTGTTGCGCATTCTGGAAACGAGGCGTGTTGCGTCGTTCTGGAAACATTTCCCAACGGGTCTCGAGGGGCATTTTGCGGCGGCGGCGGGCCGAGGTAAACAACATTGCTAGTCGTAATTGAACGTCGCGACACGAATACCGGGATTTCGCCATGACACTGGCGCAGCGAAACCGATTTATTGCGCCACAATCGCCATCGAGATCGAGACCATTCTTCCCTGCGGTGTTAAGAAACCGAAGTCGAGGCTGATGTGTGACATTGCTTGGGAACGTGCCCTAGCCTTCGATCTTGTTATTTCAGAGCGATCGATAAGCCGATATCGATCGCTGATCGAAACGACTGGAAGTTTTCTTGCCTTTCGCAGGTTTATCGAGTTTCGGTATGGCTTTGTTCGATTGTGAGTAATGTGCTTAAGCGCAGAGTATGTGTAATGATCTAGAAATTATTTTGCTTACTTTCATTGATTATCATTTATTTTATTTCAACGTCACGTTAGGCATTATTGTTGAAGTATAAATTAATTTTTGTTACTTAAAATGTTACAAAATTGCTCGGTTAGTATTGACATTAGTGACATTAACTGACATTAGTGTCAATCTTTTTGTGTTTATATATTTTTATTTTTATTTCATGAATACGCGTTCATAACGTAAACAAGTTTTTGTTTCATGAAAGAAAGTATAGACGATTTATATAACACTTGATACGCGGAAAAGATACTTAATGTCAATAAATACGAGTTGTTTTTTTAAATGTCAGCAAGCAAATTACCACTAATATGTGTTACTTTATTTATTCACTTTGATTTGTAAGGTCACATCTACCGGAATGTGTTAATTAGTAACCGCACTAATTTTTAGAAAATTTCTATAGACTTATATTTTCATAATAATTGCAACAAGTGTGTGTATTTTAAGAGCGAGAAAATATTTGAACGAGCACTTGCATTCCTGACTAATTTCCTTAATATACCACTACATGAAATTTATTTTACCTTTCAAATATGAAATTATGCTTTGGTTACTTATCTTTTCACGAAGTAATTAACAGTAGTTAACTAATTAATTACTGAACAGTAAGTGGCTGAATCTGCAGAGCTAGTAGATGTCTTTACAAGAAAACTTTTCGAATACATTCTGTACAATTTAGCTCAACAAATATGTAAATTTACAGTTTTCTCAAATGTTAAATTTAATAACTATAATTTTGTTAAATTTCATAAAATACACAATAATTTCCCGCAACCTGAAACCGCTCCAAACAATTCTCGTTTAATGTTTACGCTCCAAAATTGTGTCCCGCAGCTAGTGACTATTTCGAAACGTATTCTGATTCGAATTTACCATCTCTTCAAGGTCAGCGTTGGACCGAATTATAATCGAATAATATACGTACGAGTAGGAATTCTCGAATAATATACGTACGAGTAGGAGTTTTAAATTTACTCGAGTAATCTGTTATTCATTCGTTTTTAAACATTTTTATTTAGATGAGAATTTCATCTATCTCTGTTCATGGTCCAGGTAGCTGGATTTACCATTCACCTCTCTGAAGTTTCGTGGCATGTAATTTCTTGCTCGAAGGCATCATCATAACATATTCCAAAGATTCTCAATGGAATTCAGGTCTGGGCTCTGTGTAGGCCAGTTCATTCACCGTACCCCGATCTCCTTCAAAATGTGTGGAGCACGCTCTGCTGCATAGACATCGGCACTTTCTTGAATTAACCTCTTCAGGGATGCTGCTGCACACGTGTATGTTTAATTTTGTTGGTTAAAGTGGAACGCGAAAGAAAAAGTTTTCTTATCCTTCTTTTAAGACGTTTAATTTTAAAAGAAAATTGTCTTTTTTTTTAATACGTGCAGTAGCTATATATTTTATTTAACAATACAAATTATATCCGCTACTAAAATGTTAAACTTTTTCATATCTGTCGAGCGATTATAAATATAAAAAATCATGTATCGAAAATGTTTCGTCCCTGTAATATTCTACTGTCTATTAAATACTGTAATGTAGAAGTAATTACTACGATTGCGATTTAATATTCGTAATTAAATTTCCAATAAGTTGGCAATCACAAGTATCAGATTAAATAAATATAAATATCACATTTAAATTTTCTTTATTCTGGAATAATTTTGCTCCTGAAAAGGCTAAGAAGAAGTATTTCTCATTCAAGGAAGCAAACGTATAGGAAATTATATTTTATGGAAACTTTTACTATGCAATGATTGGCTCTGAGATTTTTGTATCTAATCAAAACTAGTTCTACAATTGCCTGCCTCTTTATGTCAATCTAAGTTATAATATACCCACCATGGCAAGTCATTCTAATAGAAAATATGGAGTCAGCATGAGGTCTACTTGGAATCATCAGCAACCGTTTCATCGACAATGTTTTTAGCAGGAATGTATCACGAGTACCATCTTCGACCGACCTGTGTGTTGACCAACATTCATATACACACATCAACACTGATTATTATCATCGATACTATCTGTCTATGTATCCGAAATATGGTCTTCTTAATATCTCTAGTAATAGGTTCTTATGGAACATTTTGTCTAGGCAGAAAATTGTTATTTGTCTTTAATTTTATACTGACATAATAATATTAGAAGACAATATTTATTTCTTAAATTATTAAGGCCCAAAGCCACTTTCAGGACACATACGACAAAAATTCTGTCTCTATGTACTTTCAAAGTTGATCAAACACAGTTAAATGTAATTCTTTTATTCGAATTAGAGGACAGATGTATTACTAAGTATCATCCAGACGATTTACTATCCAGGTCATGCACTATTAATTACTAGACCGTTTGCTGATTTCACGCTACCATACGGTTACTGTTATAATCCTTCGCACGTAGCGCTTGCTTTCGAAGATAATAATCTGTAATCGAATGACGAGTAACAAAGAGAAGCACTCGTTTCACGAGTTCCTCTGTTTAAGGACGGAAAGCGATAGTTACGGACAATGCGACTAGCACTACCTCGCCGGCGTGAGAATAGACTGAATTCGGAGTCCCGTGGAAAAATAATAACGAGAGTCCTTCGAAAGTTGACTCACGAACAGAGTTGGCCATCATTTCATTTGAATAATTTATGTCTGCATATGCAACACATATGGTAAAATACATAGTAATTACATATTCTCACGTGTTAAAATTATCTTTGCATTTTAATTAAATCTGAAATCCAGAATAAATTAGAAAAAACTTCCCATTTCAGCCACACAGATAAACACGGATTTTTATCAAGCAATCACAGTAGATAAGGAAGAATTTACTATTCTTCCTAACGAATAAACACGGAAATATACAATAAATGAATCCAGTTTAATTTCCTGCAACTAAGAATAGACTAGAATTTTACAACCATTTAATTGCATATTTTCTTACTACTTACGAATTCTGCAAACAATAATTTTAATTGACAAATGGCATAAATCAATCAAAGTGAGATGAAGACGATGACATACCATAATAGGATGTCACTGTTAACAGAGACAGTTATCTTTGTCTTTATAGATCGAAGCAATCCTAGTATTTCTTTATTTCTTAATTCTCGCAATTAGAGTAACTCATACATAGAATTTTCTGGCTACTTAGGTAATTTCTTTGACACTCTTTCCGCTCCGATTTCCATCGGGCAGGTATAACCAGAATCCGGCACCCAATGATCTAACTATGAACAAAGGTCTCCATGCTTAGCAGTCATTATGCAATCTGATATAGTTTGCTCAAGAGAAATTACTCTGCTAAAGTATGCGGAAAGCGTAGCAGACGGTGTCCAACAAAAATAGTAACATAATCATATTCTAAAACAGAAACGAAGATTTTGGTGCAACCACTAATCGCTTCCATTTTTGAGTTGGAGTATATCCTACCATGTAAAAGAAAACGGCTTTAGTTATTTCCTGAAAAATTTTCATTTATGAAAATTACCGGTTCTTGAACCACAGTTTTCAAATACAATTTGTCGTATCTTAGGAAATATTTGATAAATATACCTACCCAAAATGAAAAGTCTCTATCGACTTTCAGATCGAAGAAATACTCAATTTAGAATTTGTCAAGTTCAGATTTAATTATTATTCTTGTTATTATTACTTTTATTAAAGAAATCAACGAGCATAAATCTCGAGACTCCAATTTTTCTAGCAGCTTACGATTGAACATCGATTAAATTTTAACAGAAAAGAGTACCAGAAATCTCATTTTTTATCAACCTGGGGTTCCGTATTCCTCTCCTTAAAATTTCTCATCGTCAGACTAAAAAGAAACAAACCAAAAGCCACCCCTATAACAAGAAAAACGAAACCCGTCGAATAATCCACAATCGATTCCTACTTATTTGTCAACTCAACTCGTTAGATCACCCTACGATCGTCGAACATCCCCCAAAAAAATTTGCATCGCCCACAGGGCACGGTACATTCAAGATAAAAGGGGATAGTAGGGAAACGAACCGTACGAAATGCTTCACATGACACTTCTACGCGGGAATCTCGCCACTGTCACTCACTGACCACCTTATCAACACGATAGGAACACCTGGTGCGCGTGTCGTGGTACTCTCCGTGCCCGATGCTCGTGATCGCGAAGCGGATGATGCGATCCACACGGAGTAACTCGGAGAACACGGTGTGCACCTTTGCGAGTTAGCGCACCGCACGACGACAGTCGATGAACTGAAGAGCTGTGCGGCTTCCGATAGACAGCGCTGTTCGCCACTGGCTGCGCTCTGCTAGCCGGTACCATCGAAGCACCGATATCTGGGTCGAGCCTTTCCACCGATGTGTGCCGGAGTGCGTTCCTCGGCGACGATGGGCACTCGACGTATGGTTTCGTTTGGGTTTCCGAGTGAATCAATCGCCGAAAAGGGGGGAGTTACCGATTACCTGCCTTATAGAGGCTGTTTAGGGGGCAGAGTAATTTAGGGGCTGCGCTGGTCTCGACCAGGATAGGGTTGAGCATTAACACGTTGATTGCCAGAGAAATATTCTTGAAAATTTCTGCTAGAATTAAATATTATTCAGACTATTAGAGGCTACGTAATCAAACATCCGTCGTGGTATTTATTTTTTGTAACTTCATCAAAATACACGAATTTCATTTAAATTCATTTCCTGTGAAGCTTAACTTTCAGAATTAATGTTATTAGTTCTTCAGTGAAAAGCACTGTCACCCACATATGGGTGACGTGGCGATCAACGTGTTAAGGGGGTATCCTGAATTAGGAGGTCTAAAAAAAGCGGTTCTTCGTGAATTTTTTCAAGATAGAAAAAAATAATTAATTCTATCGAACTTTTTATCCTATTTTCATACATATTTGAGTAGTCTGTACAAATTTTTTCATCAAGGAATATTCAAATTGAGTCGACTGTGACGCACATTTGTAGAGCACCTCACAGTTAAAATCTCCTATCGGCGGGACAGATGCAGGTCGTTATTTTGGTTTGACACAAAAAAACCAAAAGAAATTTTCATTTTCATACATTTCTCTTCTATGTGAACTAAGAAAAACCCGCAAAAACGGAGGAATGTGAAATTACTGTAAGTTTGAGAAAAAGAACGAGTTCTTTGGGTGAAAAAAAATAGTAAATAAATAGTAAATATTAAAATTTTAAACAACTTATTTATAAAGTTAAAGTTAACTTGATAAATAAGTTGTTTAAAATTTTTTTTTATGAGTTTTCTTAGTAAATGGTTCGTCATAAGTATCGTACAAATACTTATTGCTTCTATACTTTTATCCACTTTTCGCATTTTTTTTTTAATTTCACAAATTACATTAACTAGTAAATGTTGTTTGGACTATATCTATCTTAGAGACACCTGAGAATATGTAAAATATCATTGATTATAAAAAAAGAAGTGAATGAACTACAATTTCACATAAAAATATGTTGGTAAATTGATCGGTGTACGAATATATTCTACACTTACTGTATAAGCAACATCAAGTTTATTCTAACTTATTAGGATCAGAATTAATCAAAATTAGAAGAGAATGTTTGAAGAATTGAACGAGGATTTCATACAAACAGCTTTAAACATTTTTTTTTGCAATAACCTCTAAATAAAATCAAAAAATCGCTTGTCTGACCTTCGTTTGGCATTGATATTCATTTTATAGTCTTGAGACTTTAGTATCAGTAATAATTCTTGCGAAGTCGAAGAATCGAGGACACGACTTGCATTACCCAAAAGAATCCGGTTGTACAGTTTATTTTCCAGTTACTTGATTTAACTTTATGCTGTTCGATACTTCCCAACTTTCAAGCTTCCATGAGTTAAGTGCGTCAAAAACTGTTCCACAGCTTTATTAATAGTGCTCAACGTTAATATTTCATTTAAAGTTTTTCATCCAGTCGCCAATTCTGAGAACTAACGCTAAATATTAATGAAGTTATCAAAACAGAAATTTATAGAAGTCTAGTCGCATTAATAAGTTGTTGACACTGTTCCTCTGAGCAACTTGAGTTTTATTTATCTTTCAAATCGTGTGCTTCAAACAGTTAAAATGATAAATAATTGAGTTCTCAAAGCAATAAATATAAAATAATTAGTATCTATAAAAGAGGAAGTTTCAGACCATATAGTGCCCCTCTTCAAGCTAAACTATTAAAATACTCACCCATCAACGTAAATAAATAGTAAATATTAAATTATTGAGAAAGAGTAGAAGGACACTATGATTGGAATGCTCATACTGACTGTCGAGGAATGCGAAGTAAAAACGTTTTCCCTGAGTCCTGTTCAAGGAACGACAAGATAATCGAGTGAAACTCTCGAGACGAGCGATCATAATAATCGGAGAGGTCGAAGTATTTAGATTGGGAAAATTATCCGTCGTTATCAGAGGGAAACGACGAAGAATATCGTAATAGAGATTCAGACGTTATCCTTATGGACTGACAGAGAAATTCCTGAATAGTAATTAATAAATGAAACGACTGGAATAACAATATTTCTCGATTTCTAAAGAATTTGTTTACTCTAGGACTTCTGGGATCTTCGCAGATTTTGCATATTCATGCACTATCCACTTTTTTCGAACGATCGAATAGAGTTGAAACTTTTAAATAATATGTAGACAATCCTGAACAACACAAACGAATTACTCAAATTAGTCAAGATATTGATAACAACCTCTTAGTTGATGTGACCTTAAATAAAGTAATTAAAAAAGAAAAAATTGTGTTTCCAAAATATCGAGCTTCCACATTAAATTGGTATCCGAACCGGTATTCGTCACCGAAACGATGAAAATATCTAATGTCTCCATTCATTGCAAACACGGAGTGCTAAACTTTTCTCAGAACGTCTAAAACGATCGACACTCGAACACTCAGTGTGTCCACAATTTGCATACGAAATACTGAGCGTCCACGTGAAATTGAAGGAGATACGTGCCTCTCGAAGTGTACGATAATCGAAACACCTGAAACCTAGTTGTTATGTCATAAGCTTCACTGACCTATGTTAATTGGCCTCTAAGCTAACCGTCCCTCCGTTGGCTGCTAAACACTCGTCCAGTTCGCCAGCACGCATGATGCATTCGTAACTAGAAAACTGTACACTCGACGTGGTTCTCCCATACCAATTGAGGGAATTAAATGCAAAAGAATTCAGGCGCGCGCATTCTGGCTCCGCTGCAAACGAGTAATTTCTTTAAATTACAATTTGAAACGTCGAAGTCGTCTTAATAGTTTCAGACGTTGACACTTTAATCGCGGGCCAATTTAAAGTATCGTGGCTTATGTTAAACAGGCCAGAGTGTAGTAATTTGCAATGTCGAGTCGACACTACAACCGGGATGCGTGATGTTTTATACATTGCTTTCATTAGGCTGGGAGACACTTGGGTTATGCAAACGAGACAGTACGTTGCCAATCATAAAAAATTTAGACGGGTCCTGAGCATCGCATAACAAGTTTAAGGGTCTTTTATTATCAGTATTTTTGTCACTATTTACATATAAATACTTTTACATAGACATGTGTCCATTATTCTGTTTCTTTCTCAAAATTTAGTTTCTTTCTCAAAACTTAGAATTGGAGATGTTTTAATATGTCTGGTACGATCTGCAATACATCTGAATTTTAATAATCATTATTCCGAATGCACGATGATGATATAACACTATAATTATGGATATAAGATGACATCTTATACATTACGCAAGGGACTCGATTATTCTCTATAGAAATCTCTGTTATTCAGTTTTAATTGCGTGCTTCACGTTATGAATAAAATTAGGGATGTGTCAGTCATACGATGCCTCTCAAAGAGAAGACCTTTACGAATTCGATCCGAGATCTTAGTATTCCACACGCATAACAGCCTACCGACTTAATCGTTCATCGGCCACCGTGGAGCATTCTCATCGAACACCAATGAGAAATGCCCTGCGTCGGCATGCAGGTTATAAAACAAGGAATGTGGAATGGAAAAGTTCCAGTTAGAGGTTGCAGGCATGCGCATTCATTTCGTAACCAGAGAGTGAAAATTTCCTGGTCGTCTTGTTTCATTAAACACCGATGATTTTATTCATCTCGAAACAGAAAGTTACACGTAACATGGTTTCGTTAATATTCGGCTCACGTATCACTGTAATACTTGCCGATTCAATGCCTCCGGTTTTTGCAATCGGAAAAGGAAGTGCTGTACCCTTTAGAAATGTCAACATTTAATTAATCTTTAACTCGAGTAAAATTAAATAATTTATTCTTTAACGTGTTCCAAAACAGCTTTGTAAAAAAAAAAGTATTATAATCTGAGAAATATTGAAGTTCCGTCAAAGAGATAGTTCTTCTAATTGGTATAAGTTCTTATTGGCGACAGCTGGTTACTGGCCGTTCCTCTCGACAATAAGCAAACGTTAAGCGGAGGAAGAGAAATCGTAAAGAGAAGGCAGGAAGTAAATTAATCTACACGAAGATACATTAATTGAGTTGATAAATGCCTTAGTTTCTAGATCAATGTGCAGTTAAGGAACGTTACTCTAATCTAGACGTTTGTAAGAATTTACATTAGCGTTTAAAATTGGTAAATGGTACTCGTCACGCTTTGCTTAATAAATGTTCTTTTAAAAAGTATTCTGTTAAAGGAAATGTACCTTACTAAAAAATATTACCGTGATGCTAATCTTCTTTACAAGAAAAACATTTTAAATTATTATATTAAGCAAACGTTGAAATCATTTATTATTCAGGAAATTATCATTTTATTCGAGTAACTCGCTCGTGGTATTTTTGCTTCAGGATTAGTGAACGTAATAGCGCTTTATAAGGACAACACAGACAGGGAGGTCGCAATGAAATAGAAATCCGAACCGGAAGGCGCAGGAAAAGTCGGAAGTGATAGTAGTTTACTGAAAAACATTGTAATTCTTTTACTTGATGAATGCATTCAGCGAAAATAAAAATTTCTTTCTGTGAAAGTAACCTACGTATCCACCGATATTAAAGTATGCGCATTTATTATTATCATTGCGGTTTTTACAAGTGCGGAATCATACGTTCCTTATGCTTCAGATAGTAATTAGCTATTAACATATCTCTTCTTTAAAGAATATTGAGTTTTGTTTTAATTTGATGGAACCATTATTATAACACTATTAAACATTTTTTTAAAATTTGTGTGAATCAGATATTTTAGAATTTGTAGAATAGAAGTTTTATGGAAACATGTGTTTTAAAATATTTTGTAGTAAATTATTATTTCCTCCTCTTACGAATTGTATTCAGATTTAAACTCGTAATTTCAATTTTT